ATAGTTTGGTTCACCGTGAACAAAAAATAACGAAAATATAGCGTCCGTATCCACAACAAATTCTCTCCATGTGGTCTGAGTTACATTGACCTAGTATTGAGCATAACTGAGTTATACCCCCTTATCATTATACGTGTATTACCTCTTTGTCGTCGTTTGACGTCATAGAAGAAAATCCATTTTTGACATTTATTGCGAGTCATTTGTAATGTTGAGCGTATAACGTTATGCATAAGCACATAAACCCAATTCATATACAATTATGTCGTTCAGATATCAGGCTGTATTTTCTTCGCTCACACTTTCTGTAAAGATGCCACATTAAAAAATTCGTAGCACAGTGCTTTTATCGGTGCGCCATAAAAAGCGGAGAAATTTACTGTTTTTTAACGCATAACAAACTTTGGACAACATTTAGCAGTGTCTATTTCTCAAACCGCCGAGGTAGTTGCACTTATATTTACACCAACGGATAAGAAATTTATAATTCTACATTTCTGTGTAATTTTATAGCCGTGCGTAGATCCAGGACCACGCGAGCGCAATTCTCGCACAACGTTCACTTTTCAAACCGTATGAAAATTGGCGCCTGAAAAAAAACTCGGCATCCAGGGGGTTAACTCTTCAAACTCACTTGTACAGTACTCTCCCTAGTATACTGTGATGTCACTTGCATTGTGACGTCATAACTCAGTTATGACGTCATAGTGACGACGTCATAGTCCTAACTGCCAGTTCACCTGATGAAGGGACCTGGAATGGTCTCGAAACGTTGTGAGAGAAATTAAAAAGAAGTTTAATCCATAAAAATATCTTGGACATATTTATAAAGTTGGTTAATTACCTTATGATTACTTAATTATATAAAGTTTGTATTCTAATATACTCGTGAAGGTCCGGGTTAGAATGAACCTTCAGTAACCCATGCTTGTCGTAAGAGGCGACTAACGGGATTGGGTGGTCAGGGTCGCTGGCTTGGTTGACACATGTCATCTGTTCCCAATTGCGGAGATCTATGCTCATGATGTTGATCACTGGATTGTCTGGTCCAGACTCGATTATTTACAGACCTCCGCCATATAGCTGGAATATTGCTGAGTGCGGCGTAAAACTAAACTAAACTCACTCACTCACTTGTATTCCCATTATCACTGATTGTTATTAATAATAACTTGCGGTTATACTCTTGCTCTTGCGGTCTACCATCGTTTGCCGAAAATGACTATTCTTGAAATCAGAAAGATGGCAAGTGCTTTATACATATCACGGTCATGGAAATGTAAAGATATGTTATTTAGCAGAATTATAAGGTTACCTGAAGCACTGCCCACGCTAAATTCGGATTTGGAAGCCAATACTCAATTCTTTTTACATAACGGTGTATCGACCCTAAGTATTAAAATAGACCCTTTGTCTGTTTCACGGATGCTTTTCACCCAGTATATTGTGATATTTGTAACTATCCATTGTTTTAACATTTTACTATTGAAAATTACAATGATCAACTTGGAGGTCGTCAAAACATAAGAGGCGGTTGTTAACAACCAACCGATCAGAAAGTAGCATTACCAGGTTTCTGGTAGAGTTGAACTTTGGAACTCTCAGAAATAAGTACAAATTTATAGGAGTACAATATGACTAATATTACAGTTTCCCTTCAGTACTGTTGACAGCTTGTCATAAGATGTTAATGGTAGATGAAGCCATAGAGATGGAGATCCTGGTTATAATTAGCGCTGATTCTGCATTCCTACGGGAAGTGCCCCAAACGCTTGACAGCATATTACCCCAGTTTACGGATCGGTGTGTATTAACATTTCATTATCAGCCCCCTGGGGACTATACAGTCCAATATGCCTGTCATACTGTAATAGGTTATCAATTACATTAACACCTCACGCTACCGGGTACCCTGTCTGATGAAGCAGACACCAAGCAATAATCAGCCTGTGGTTACAATTGTTTTCATCGTTCCAATATTGTCCATAGACAGTGTATGCTTCATAACGTTCATAAAATACACCACTACGTCCATCAAACTATCTCCTGGGCAGGATTTCAAGATGCAACCCGATGTAAGACCAGATGTTAAATGCGTATGTTGATCGTGGCAACTAGTTTATAAGCAACCTGCATCCTGTGAATCTCATGTTGGTGGGTTTAATCGTTACTTTGGGCTTTCCTTCTTCATTAAACAGACCATTAGGGTATATACCTGAAATAGAAAGCGCCTATAAACCCAACTCATTATCATATCTGTTGAACCAAAGTACCTGTAAGTATGTAAGTGTAATTTACCACAGAACCATAGAAATACCATAGAAATGCGCTTGAAGATATACCATAGAAGATATGATACAGGTCACCAGGAAAAGCTTGTCTTGTTAAGATACATTGTGAAATATGACATTGTAATGACGACTTGTAGGATATTAAAAGACTCCAACTTATAACTCTCTGTCCATAGTGATTGCAAATGTTGCTTAATGTTACTTAAGTTCAGTTTCATTAAAACATATTTTACAAGATTTAAATGAAACGAATCTCGGGAAGGAATATTAAGTGTTAGTATTTATAATATTTAAGAAACCTTATTATTAATTTTTAGCTATTCTTAAAAACACTTTTCGAACTCGTTAAAATACGTCCCTTCAAGGCATATGATTTCAATAATAATGGGTTCCTTGGGGGATTCATTACCGTTAGCACATGCGAGCGTGTTCATAATGTTCCTTTACGTCGCCTTAATAACGTATGTTATTTCCTTAATCCCCTTTGCTCGTACCTCGAGCAAAATAATTTACATTTCGATTTCAGAAACGGACTCAAATGACTTCAATGTTTTTTAAAACTCTATTTACAATTCAGTTGTCAATCTAATTCAGCAAAGGGTGTGTTCTCTGCACATATCAAATTGAGGCACTTATTTCACAACCTGATGTAACCCAAGAATCTCTGTGCAATTATTCTAATGTATCAATGTGAACCCTGATTTCATCGGAGAAGTCTTAAACAGCTGGTCATCAAATGGCACAAAGTAAGGAAATGTTGGTAATTAATTTTGCAATAACATATTGTTTCTGAGTGAGCTGTAAACCAAGAAGTTACGACGAGATGATGTTTCAGGTACGAACAATTTGAAGTCTCTTGTTTCTCATGTTCCTTGTACGAAAGGATGTATACATTTGTCAGCCTTTAACACTGTTCATGCCAGTTCACGGCACCAACCTATAGAGAATAGAACTGCGTGCTCAAAATTAAATTTACTTCAATAGAAAGTGTATCTCAACCGCAGATTTAACCATATGTCATTGCATAAAAATAAATCTCATATCATTCATATCATATTACATATTTGAAAAATGTCTCTTGTTGACCAGTTGTAAATGTTCACTGTTGAATTGAAGGAAATTATCACTAGAATCGTTTATATGTCAAACTAATGCAAAACGTCAACTCTAGAATATCACCAGTCTCGATTTTCTGTCAGATTTCATTAAGCGGATAAAGATATATAGCGGTGATACTTTTATATATGGCTATATGATGACATTAGGGGGTTGTGAAAGGTTGAACATATTCTTACCATTAGAGATTATATCGATGGCTCTTTCAAAATGCGTTGACAAATCATATCAGGCTACAGAGGGATGGTGATGGTGAAGAGGTCTTGTGTCAAACACCCCAGTGATATAACCGCCAGGAGTCTATTTAGATCGCGCATGCAGACTACCTCATGTCACTGATAGATATGTGATAATGGTATTTACTGGTCCTTAGCATTAGGATCTATTTGGTAAACTACGGTTACAACGGACTCAGAGGGACCAAGAACTGTAGTTCACTGAAACAGTGATTCGTTACGCACATTTCAACTGAACTATACAGCAAGTGGCCAGGGTGTCGTTATACAAAGCAATCTTAGCGCTAAGGTGACCGTAGCTCCCATACCTTAACATAGACTTAAGGTAGTCTTAGCGCTAAGGTTCTTTTGTACAACGGCATCCTGGTCGTCAGTTAGTTATAAACGTACTTTACCGTAGTATGTTGTTTAACAGTTACAATAAATCCAAATCATTGTTTTCTACAGATCTTCAGACAGGATCACATACAAATCATCCCTTCTAATTGAATTCTGCCCTGTATACACGCATACTGATATACTATCTATCTCACTTACATTGAGCATTGAGTTTCCTTATTAGATAACGTTGATAAGGTTATTTCTCGGATAACTCCTAACTTTACATTTCATCTGTGGAAAGCTAATAACGGAGACAGAAGCTGCATGATCAGGATATTACGTTGCAAATACCAGGCCTTGCTGCACAAAACAGTCAGAGCACTATCGGAAGTCAATACACTTGAATATGGCTACAAGAAAATGTTGGCCCGTCGTGCAGTCATGCCTCATGTCGATATTGGACGTTCGCTGATTTTGTCTTGAGTGAATTGCGGTCCGTATCTTTTTCGTCGCTCAACACAAATACCAACATCAATACAATTTTCGGCAGAAGATTAAAAGTACTTGGCGGTGGTTCACCTGAGGCTATACATGTACATGAGTGCCTAGATGGAATTGTTTTCTCCCCATTGACAGTGGATGGTGATCTGGTGGTTAGATTGTAGGTTTTAGTTTTCAGGGCTATTGTAGTTCATATTGTAGTTGAATGGCTTAGTTATATCTGACGTTTTCAGAATGTCAAGTTTAGTTTTAGAATGCCAATATGAAAATATCTGTTTGGACTCAACTCATCGACCAGTAAGCATGCGATCTTCATACTGATAAATAGGATGAAACATGTGCGGAGTACAGAATCCGAGACACACTCACAACAGCTAAAGGTATTGTCCCTTTGGAGCCAGCATACACGATGTATCACTATCAACTTTAGACATACCACACTGGTGTTGAAGATGATGTTCAGATGTTTTTCGTCACATGCGGAGATAGTGATGTGTTAAAAACAATTGCAATATATATGCTTGTTTTTTTGTAGGTACGTCGATGACAATAATCCTCCTGTTGGCAAGTCTCAACAGCTGCACTAATCCCTGGATTTACCTGTGCTTCAGCGGAAGATTATGTGGAAAAGTAGAGCGCCGTATGTCTCGCTCATGGACACAAACCACGCAGGTTACCCACACATATGACTCAGAAAGTAGATCCAGACATTCAAACTATGATATATCACCCCACACGTCACGTGACATCAGTCCCTGGGCAAGGACATCCATGACTAGTTCGTGTTAGGACATAACATCTATGAAAACACGACGAACCCTTCCTTACCCGGGACCCTTGGGGCCATGAATGATTTTCTGAGCTGCCAGTTTTTCCGACAAGCATTGAGCTGAAAGATTGACATTGCATTTGACAACTGCGTGATGTAACGTTAAAACAAGCTTAATATGGTAACACAAATATGTGTACAAGAAATGGTTCATGCATCAATTGTCTTAACAAATACGCGCACGTTTACCTAGCTTTACTACGGGTATTTGTAAACAGAAAACTATTCTTAGGCTGGGGACTGAAACAATTCTTATCTCATCCAACAATTCGATCTTCGTGTTAGATGAACACAGATGAAGAATTGTTGCAGGAACTGTGTCTTAACAATATGTCAACGCAATGTAGTCCTTAAGAGAGAATGAGGTTTCGCTCAGTGGGCAATGACGTGTTTCCATTATGGCTATTGGAAGAGACTTGCAAGATATCTGTTTAAACTTAAGTGTAATTAATAGCACACTCTACCATACGGACTAGATGTATTGTTGTGTTATGATGGTATCTTTTGTTCTGTTTTGAGGATGAAACAGAACACATCTACGTTTGTTAACAAGCGGACCCAAATCCCCAAAACAGTATAATGATACCTTTAGATGCATTGTCTTTTGGGGAGTTCACACTTATGTTTGTAGATATTTTGTTGGCAAGCGAGTGACAAAGTTTCCACGATTTACATAAATAGCGAATTATTATCAATAACCGATTCTCGGCTAATTGATAATTTCAACAAAACTATTTGGTTTTTGAAAGGATATGCTCATATCCATATATGGATCACAATGAATATGTTATGTAAATGTGGTACATTAGTTATGAGCTTTTAACATATTTCCTGTTTTATGTGTTTCAAACTATCCCTTTCCCATTGTATTTGATAGATACGAAGTATGTAAGCTGACGACCTTGTTACCTGTACAATAACATATTTTGACCACTGTCCACTGAGGATGGGGTTTTTGTGACTACCTATGGTGTTACGTTCAGTTAAATGGTCTTCTGTAAAAGTGGAAATAGTAGCATATTTGATTAATTGTGGTAGGAATTAAAAGTGTCCATGTTTAATTTTAAAGGATTGCATAAAAAACATACTTTGTCGAACAACGTATACATCCTTATTTAACACTCATGGAAACACGAAATGTTTAAGATTTTGTGGTATACAAAATCTGCAAAATGTACACGCTACATCCAGTTCACAAGCGTTAGTTAGATCCCTGAATGACATATCAGCCCGTGTATACCACGTGACTAAGCACAGGATAATCGCATAATCGCGTGTTTGTTGTCTTTACTATGTTACAATAAATCAACATCTTTCAAGAAGGCATATCATGCCGCTGTGTCATTGGTTTGAAATCCTTAGCTACACCTCCGCAAGTATGCTGCCTTACTTACTTCTACACTCAATTGTATCCCTTAGTGACGTTCATGTACTGCATACACATCCGTTTTTATAACGTCTTAACGCAATTCCATAAATATACACTTTATGAATACAAATACAATTTCTACTCACCAACATTTTTACATCAAAAAGCATTACCTTGCCGTAGTAAAGCATCTATTTGCACAATCATATCCCACGGGGTATAATCCCAAAACTGGCAGTATCCAGATGACGTAATTAGGGAGATGTTATAATCCACTGCCAGAAATGGGACATACAGATATCGCACTGCCAGAAATGCCGCTTGCACAGCCGATGGTACATAGTCACCGATATGTGCACGGAGACTTAATTAGTTAATTACTCCAAACTCCCATACCCACCGTCGTATTTTTTAAGTTGGTTGCAACGGGCATGTTATACTTGAATGCTCAAAGGCTATTACTGCAAAAGGGCACCAATATGAATGTTTTAACAGACAAAACGCCCGACTGACCGTATGCCGCCTGACATGTCGGTCAGTCCTCTAAATATCAAGCTTCTTCTCCTTATAATCGATGTATTGTATTGAGTCCAACCTTAACAGATACTTTTAATACATATTTGTTGTTTTGTTATCTCTGTTAAAGCCATTTGCACTAAATCAATAGCGCTGTTAACGACCGTTACGATCTGTCCGTCTGACGGCATGTGTGTCCGATTAGCTTTCAAGGTCACAATTTCCATACTGGTCTTCAATTTACATTTATGAATGCATTAAAGAATTGTTAATAAAAATATTACTCTTTTGTGCACCCTCTATGTTTTCACCTTTAAAAATTACCAACAGATTATAAACACATGCATAGAATATGAGTTGCTGTAACGAGTTTTGCAAACATTTAAAGTCTAAAATAATGTTGAATATTGATGTTAGAGGTATTGCAGAGTCTTTCCGAGTTACAGATTTCACGAACAGATGCCGTTAATTAGATAAGTTGATGACATTTTTCATTTTTGTTAAATTTTGTTAAATGTGAGATTACTGCCATGACAATGGTGTTTTGATGCTCAAAGTAAACTGTTTAAGTGCTGTCTTCATCTACATATATCTGTCTGTTACTTAATGTCACCTCCTCGATGTGTTGTTTCAATTGTTGATGAATAAACTTTTATTAATGTGAATTCGTTTTGTTTTGCACACGTGTTGGGATGTGAAGGCAGACATCGACACATCGAGGTATTGTGTAGATCTCTGGTTTCGTTAAGTCGAATGAATATGGACAATTTCTGAATGCGTCGAATGCTTTACAAATAGGAGCTTTTCATTCCAGGAAAATTCGATTCATCAATAATATCATTACTGATCGTTATTTTTTTAGTTGACAGGATAAAAATAGGGAAACCACAAAAAAACGAATTTGTCATGGTTCTAATCACATTGTCATGGTGAGGGATGAATGTTGAAAACACAACACTTTGTGAAACAAGTTCATGTACTGAGTGATAAATCAACCAACCGATTACTCAAACGCTTGTATGGATTTGATAAATGTGCGCAGCGCAAAATGTGAAGCAGGATTTAAAGCATTAAGGGTCTTAACCGAAATAATCAATTAAGAAATTGCTTTTTTGCGTAGACATTTTTTAGACTTTTCAGTCAAGAAATCCAGGTATTATAGGGAAATAGTGAATTCCAACTTTGTCAGGGCTGTTCAAAGAATTATGAATATTTTATATTTTGACACAAACATATAGTCTGCTGCACAAATTAGTTCAGTTCTATAGCCGTTAAAATATGGTCTAGATAAGCCAGGTGAATCGTTATATCCTGCTATTTCTTGTGCATTGTCATATCTCCTGCTATTCTTTTGCCATCGTTAAATCCTTCTATTTCTTGTCCTTTATTGTGTCTTGCTATTCCTTGTCTATCGGTATATCCTATTCCTTGTAAAATTGGTATGCCCTGCTATTCCTTGTCCATCGGTATATCCTATTCCTTGTAAAATTGGTATGCCCTGCTATTCCTTGTCCATCGTTAAGTCCTGCTATTCCTTGTCCATCGATATGTCCTGCTATTCCTTGTCCATCGTTAAGTCCTGCTATTCCTTGTCCATCGTTAAATCCTACTATTCCTTGTCCATCGTTAAATCCTGCTATTCCTTGTCCATAGTTAAATCCTGCTATTCCTCGTCCACCGTTAAGTCCTGCTATTCCTTATCCATCGTTAAATCCTGCTATTCCTTGTCCATCGTTAAGTCCTACTATTCCTTGTCCATAGTTAAATCCTGCTATTCCTTGTCCATAGTTAAATCCTGCTATTCCTCGTCCACCGTTAAGTCCTGCTATTCCTTGTCCATCGATATGTCCTGCTATTCCTTGTCCATCGTTAAGTCCTGCTATTCCTTGTCCATCGTTAAATCCTGCTATTCCTTGTCCATCGTTAAATCCTGCTATTCCTTGTCCATAATTAAATCCTGCTATTCCTCGTCCACCGTTAAGTCCTGCTATTCCTTATCCATCGTTAAATCCTGCTATTCCTTGTCCATCGTTAAGTCCTACTATTCCTTGTCCATAGTTAAATCCTGCTATTCCTTGTCCATAGTTAAATCCTGCTATTCCTCGTCCACCGTTAAGTCCTGCTATTCCTTATCCATCGTTAAATCCTGCTATTCCTTGTCCATCGTGAAGTCCTGCTATTACTTGTCAAGCGGTATGTCCTGCTGTTCCTTGTCCATTGATATGTCCTGCTATTTCTTGTCCATCAGTATGTCCTATTCTGTGTAAATTGGTACGCTCTGCTATTTCTTATCTATCGTTGTTTCCTGTTATTCCTTGTCCATCGTTATGTCCTGCTATTCCTGTCCATCGTTAAGTCACACTGATCACTCAACGCCTGCCATAAATCCTTATGAAAGGCAAATGGCATCTGTGAAGATGTATTTTACAGGTCAAGGTACGACAAAGTTTAATGTAAAACATAACACAAGCAGTTACAACTCTAATAAAATGTATGAAGGAAACTAGTCGTTCTTCGTTTGGTTCACTCACAATATCAAATGTATCAAGATGGCAGATTTGAAAACAAATTCAGGAAGCGTTTGGGACCGAAGCTGATTTGTCAGATGATGTTGAAACAAATATAAGCAATCGTATAAAATTTCGCACGCGCCACGGCTTACTTCTTATTGTATGCTTTCACTCATGTTCACAATTATTCTGTACTTAGTCCTGCCATAATTCTAAGACATTCATAAGATACAAAGGAAAAACGGTTGGTAGTCAGTTGTATGAGGATGCCCTATATCTATCGTTACCAATATCGAATTCGTTTTAAAGGTGCGTCATATCCAGTGGGCAAACATGACCTTACCATACTTAGTTATTTTCATTAGTCTCTAAAAATATGGCAAAACCATCACGTGATAGAATATTGTCATACTATGCCATCATATCATATTCACAGCAGTTGTACGTGCGACCAGCGTCATATAGAATATTTGGTAATGCTGATTTACGTTGTGTTCTAAGAGAGGTCGAACCAATTTATTGCATGATACAATCACATTGCAATTTTGGAATGAAAAATAGTCATCGATCTGATCTTCGCATTCTGGTTTCAGCACTTCCAGACTTCTCGACTCCTTAAGAGAGAGCAAAGAAACTTTTTAACAGACTTTGATTAGAACCGATTTTGAACCAGCGTAAATATGTCAGTACGCATTCCGACTGGTATATGTATATTTAATTTGAACAAATGTTGACATAATACAAGAGCAGTTGGAGGAAATTCACTATTATGGCTTACTTATATAATTTTATAGATTATACCACTTATTTTTCACAGGTATAGCATTGTAATTATATTCCCTCGCCTTGATACTCTAGTTCCCAACAAAGGAGAACGCGTGACTGTTGGAGGTAGTTTGGTAGCATAACATAGATCAATTAACTTGTGGGCAGGACACCAGGTGCATGTGAATCAGTAATATTTCTATAATGAACCCACAGTGAAACGAACACAGTGGAACAAAGATCCTTAAATAACGTATTACTAAAATACTGTGTGTGACCATGTACATAACTCAGTTGTCTCATGGGAGATATCAACCGTTAAAGAAATCTTGCTTGATATGCAATAAGAGTTTGAAGCAAAAATGATAATGAGACGATTACGACTCCTTTGTGGCTGAAACTCAATTACACAGGACATTGCACTCTCCTTTACACAGTGTCAGTTGCCCACACATTTGAATTTCTGTGACTTGATAGACATAGACTGTGATAAAATTAGGGAAAAAGGGCCATGGTATGCAAATACATTAATGACGTATTATTTGATACAGTGCATGCATATTCAAACGTTTTCAAACCATGAGAATTCAACTGTACTTCTAAGCTGACCTAATGGACATATAAAGTATGAATTGACTGCGCCTCAAATATCCATTACTATCTGCAGGATCACTTTAGAATAGTCCCTCCATGTGTTTGTTCTTTGTTTATCCTTGTGTATGAAACAACTGTATGCCGACGGAATGCACGTCGACTTGTCGTATGAGCAAAGATTCACGCTGAGGAGGTACGATGACAACAATAAACAAAGTCAAGGAGTCAGGACACTCATACCCGATTTTCCACTTACTACGAGTAGCTGCAGGTTGCTGGGTACACATTCTAACCGTGAAAAAGATGTTTGTTGTTTAACGTGGCACTCAGCAATATTCCAGCAATACGGATGCGGTCTGTAAATAATCGAGTCTGGACCAGACAATCCAGTGATCAACAAGCATGAGCATCGATCTACACAAATGCGATACAATGACATGTGTCATGCAAGTCAGCGAGCCTTGCCACCCGATCCCGTTAGTCGCCTCTTTCGACAAGCATGGGTTGCTGCAGACCAGTTCAAACCCGGATCTTCACTTTGTATACAAAAAAAAGTACTTATAAAGATGATACAAGGGTCAGAATGTCGCCAACATTTAGGGAAATGTTCCAAATTCAATTATTTCATATCCACATCAAGCGTCCGAACAACCCACTGACGCTGGTCTGGTTGTCCCTGGAAGATATCATAACACTCTGAAGTCGTTAAAGACCATATTCAAGAATGCTTATCATGCCTGACGTCGTGCCGATTCCCAGCAATTTGATATATTGACAGGAAAGCCCGGTGTCTCAGATTACCTGACATCTATGTCACATTTAGGTATCGCCTCTCTCACTGTTTCCGATATCCGTTGTGAGTATGTGACAAGGCATGGAGTTTGCGATAAGTTTGGTCAGAAACATGCCTTCCCTTCCTTAATTTCCCCGGGATGCAGGAACTCGGTGTCAAACCAACATGTCGAATGTCACGTTCGTGTCTTCACAGTTTCAGTACTGCCGTTTGTCGTCGACACATCCGAGAGTCGTCATTTGTCACGTAAGCAGAAGAAAATAATTATCATCTATTCTTTGGGTGTAGCACGCATCTGCAAATATAACTTGAAATCCACCATTGTGGAGCCTGTCGTGGTATCGATCCTCTAAACCAATAACCTTACGAGTATATGAACATCTACGAAGATATGAAATAGCGCCATGTGACTTGTTGAAACATTGTTTAATAACTGTTACAACATTCAAGGCTTCACTGAAACTATCAAATAGTGAGTGAGTGAGTTAAGTTTCAGGCCGCTTTCAGCATTAGTCCAGCAATATAACGGCGGGGTACAACAGAGATGGGCTTCACACATTGTACCCATGTGGGGAATCGAACCCGGGCCTTCGGCGTGACGAGCGGACGCTTTAACCATTAGGCAACCCCACCGCCCCGAAACTATCAAATAGACAAATACACGTCATTGACAAATACCTTGCCCTTGCATGTGTTTGTGATAGTGATTCATAAAGATGCTCATGATATAGTCGCAATCGTACAATCGACCGCATCTTATCAGTGTCGAAAGCGACTTGTCATTTCAATACTTACACATTTCTCATAATGGCGTTTTGTATTCGACACAAATGCATGTTATATGTGAGCTATGGCCACACAACATAGGCTCAACTAAACTGTTTTTTTGTAGTAAATATAAACATACAATGTATGATAATGAGACACAAAACATTATACTTGAACAATATTTCCCATTACAATATTTTGATGGAGGTAGTCTGATTTTAAACTAAAGGA